AGATTACTAGTGTATAAGGAGGCATGTAATAAGGCAAACAATACAGAGGTAGATTATCATTAGGACTGACATTGTTATGCAGATAAATACAGTACTAGTGAATTGTAGCTATTTATTTTTCAAGCTGTTGGAATTGTGCTCTTTAGCAAAACAGACTATTCTCCATAAATGCACTTTTTCTATCACAAAGAGGAGTAGATGCATAAATGTATATAAATAGGTCTATGACATTTCTTTCACTGCCTGAAGAAAGTACCACACTGTTAGACTGAAAATTACATTTGCTATCTAAAACCTAGTAAGACTTGCAAATGACCTTTTTGTCCAACTCCAAACCACTGTAATAGCTTCAATGTCAGTCATTTGCAGTACAAAATACATCAATTTTGCCAGGAGTATTAAAGTACCACATGCATATTGAATTTCACTTTGCTGAGGATATTTTTCACAACTTTCCTGTCTGTTTTAAGTATGTGGTGTATGATAGAAGGCATAGGCCAAAATGCAGAGGTAGTAGGTGACTGAAGTTGCGTCTAATTGTATCAGCAGCAAGTTCAGGGCAGTGCTCGTTAGGCACCTTGCTCAAGCAGCAACTACAGTTTTGGTAGTCAATTCAATTTTTCTAAGCCCTTTTTATAGTACCTCCCTTGACAGCATTTACTGTTGTAATGTGCAGTCTGGCTTTAAATCATATTGATCATTCAGCAATCTTAAATTTAATTATAGGTTGGTAATTGCAGCCACATTTAGTTCCTGCCCAGCTCCTGTAGGTTTGATTATGCAATCTAATTAAAAACTCATCTCCTCTTCTGCTGTCTAGAGCCAGCAACTCAGTTCTTTATGGTATTTTGATATCTTTCTTTTATATATGCCAACTGTAGCTAGTTTTTATCAGAGTAGATGAAATAATCGCCTTTGTTCTAGTAGGCTTTATTGGTGCTTTAATTTCCCCCAGTGTTTTGTGTTTGTCAGGATGGTAGAACAGTAGATTCATAGCACTATTACGTTAATCTTATGATAAAGGAATGATATTCAAACAATCATGCAGGGTCCACTCCTTTGCCAAATATGAGGTAATTAATTCTGTAATCTTTGTAAACTTTTAGTAGCAACAATAGCTGTAAGCAAATGTGCAAACCTCTGCAATACAGCTCAAAGCCATGAACTTGTTCTCCAATTTGTGATGCATTACAAGAAATATGATACTATCATCCCTCTTCTAGTGATATGACTTCCTTATGTGATGGATTAGAACCCACTGCCCATGATTTGTATTTTAGGGCTGCATGTTGAAAAACCAAACTACATAAAGCTGACCTCTAACCTCACAAACTTGTGCTGCTTTGCTTGGTTTCATAGCCAACACTCAGTAAGCATTATTTTTAAAATGTGAATAAGATTTATGTATCAATCAAGAATACTTCTTTTCTTATGTTGTTTTAGGATCATCTGCACAAATGAAACTTTGAATATGTTAGGAGTTTTATTCAGCACAAGAAATTAAGGGAAACAGTAATTTAGCCAGTAACCCAGCAGAGGCTACCAAGAATTAGTCCTTTTCTAAGGAGAAAAGTATGAACTAGAAGTGATTTGACACTAGTTTGCAAATAGTCTTTGGTAAAAAGAATAATTACAGAAGAATTAAGGAATTACTTTTGGAGAACGTATTTATTTCTGTGATACTGCGTGCAAAATAATGAAAACATTTGTTTCATAATATACATTTTTCATTCCTCTACAATCAATCTCAAATATTGATTTAACAGATATTGTCTTAGAAAAAGGATTAGGAGACAGAGCAGAGCAAGATTACGGTAAGAAATTTTGAAACATTAAATTGAGTTGCAATGGCAAATACATAATTATAAGGATAACTTACAAGAACCTCCAAAATTACTCAAGTTTATCAGGCATTGTTTAGAACTGGAACATGGGATAAATTAATCCTTTAGAGAGCAATAGCTACAAATATATGGCTATTGTTCAGAATAGCACTGATCATAATTCTTGTTCCAGACATAATCCTGGTTTTGCAATAAAATCTTGTTTACATATTTATTTCCAGAAGTTTAATCAATCCTGAAAATGTACATTTTTTCCAATAGAAATTAAGATGTGATGGCTATTCATTTGTTTAACAACATAGACATATTTTTTACTTAACAGTTTCCTAAAATGTCCGGTATCCTTTTCAGACACTTTTCCAACAGTGCCAGCAGGAAATTCTTATGACACAAGTAAACCAGAAGATCAGTATCATGTTATTGCTACTGAAACAGGTAATGTGTTCTTATGAATTTGGTGTTCTGGTAAAAATATCAGCAGTGGACTCAGTCAAATTAATCTTTAACAATTTCCATTATTTTCATTGGGAGGAAGCGGTCTATTTCCCCAGGAAATACTCTTGAAGCATACAGGTTTGAATAACATCTCAAGAGTTTTGGTCAGTCCTATTTATAACTGTGGAAACAAATTATTTCCATGTTTCCTCGAACTTTCATCCAAATCTACAGTGTTTGAAATCTGCACCGTTGTGAGTCTCTGCCGAGATGCAAGATTTCACCAGTGTTCATCCAGCTGGGGAGTGTCTCCTCCTGAGGTTGTGGTAACCAGTGCCTTGCCTCTCTCCATCTCCTCCCTGCCTCTTCCCCAACACATACAACAAAGATATGGTGCTTGTATTGTCTTTTATATCTGATACCTAGGGCTCACAAATAAGGCACAAATGAGTCTTTCCCTGACAGATAGGGCATAAATTTTTCAGTTATCTGCAGAATAAGCACTGTGCCATAGCTCCTCCAAGAACCCTGTGTTTTAAGGAATAACTGTGTGCTAAGAGGAGTTAAATGCTTTGCTGAGATTTTTAGCAGAGATGGCATCTGGTATTTTGAAAATGGATACCTACTGACTAGGAGCTTTCTGTAATGCTGCTAGCTACTTCCTTTAGTAGTTTGTCCTAAATAGTCCTGAGGTTCATGAAGAGTTGCAACATGGCTTCAGTTCAAGGAACTGAACAGCTCTAAGGAACAATTCAGGATTTTGCAGGATTACACCATGGGATTATGGAAAGATGGTGCTCTGTTTGCAAACTGGTTAGCTGGATTTGAGCCAGTTTTGTAACTGATGTTCCTATTGTTTGTAACTCCAGAGAAATGGATGTACTGATGAGCTGTATTTTGACATCAGTAAAACCATTTATATAAAGCGTACAAAGACTTGCTGGATAAAACTCAAATCCAGCTTGAACATTCACATTTATTCTTGCTAGCGAAAATGTTCAAAAGAGGACAATAGGTAAGAAAGTCTCCACAATTTGTATGTTAAATGTATACTGTTATAAAATGTGGGCATATAGTTACTGAAAAAGAGTCAGACCCTTCTGAAAGTTGTAGCTCTCATTCACTATTGTAGGCAGGTAACACTACTAGCTTTTACTATTTCCCACTCCTTTTGTCCAGGGACCTGCAGGGAATCAGCTTTAGCTATCTCATAATTTGTCAAGGAGAATGTACATTTATCTTTTGAGGGGGATGGGGAGTCAAGAGCAGGGTTTGTTCCTCTTGTGGCCCTGCATGGGTGGGAATCCAACGTGCAAGGGCAGCTGAGTAGACTGGTTATGTGGACTGTAAAAATAATGGGCTGTGAAATGTGCTGTGTTGAAATGCTTGAATTTCAATTGCAAAATTGGACATCTTGCACTGATGCTAGAAAATGTCAGATTTTAAGTTCTTAAGATGTGTCTTGCACACCACTGGAGTACTACTGTTGTGTTGTTATTGCTGAATTACCTGCTTGGGCTCTTCATATAGAACAAATGTATAAGACTTCTTTTGTATAAGTTAATGTATTTCTGATACTTCACTCCAGATTTTTACTCAAGTGGCTAAGAGTATTTCAGCATGAGAGACATTAATGAGAACTTTTGTCTTGTAGGTATAATTCCGAATCTAATTTATGTCATAATACCCACTATACCACTGCTGCTGTTGATACTGGTGGCTTTTGGGACTTGCTGTTTCCAGATGCTTCATAAAAGGTAAAATATACTAATCCATAATGGTCTTATAATGCAGAATTCATATTTCCATTGGCAAGCTATTCATACTGAAAGGCTGCTTACATCTGTCCCCAAATATGCAAATAAGCATCTTTTCATCTATTAAAATCCAAGTAGTTTACATCTGTTACAGCTGAATATTCAGCTTAAGGCTTTTCCACAACATGCTGAAATAGTTCAGGGCTCAAAATATATCACCATTAGGAATTAATCTAGAGATCTTTGCTGACCATTTGATAGGCTGAGCTACTGTCAGCACTTTTACTTCACTTTTTCCATCACAATTACCACCTATACAGCATCTGACCTATGAGAAATAATAGTGGAGTCCTCACTGATACAGGGTGAACTCAAGGACTCACCTTGCTTTCAGACCAAAAGTGCAGTTTGTTCCAGGGACAAACCTAAAGGTTCAGC